CGGTTACAACCTAACTTGAGCCCTAAGAAGAGTTAGAAGGATCAAAAAGCTGACCAACAAACAAAACGGTTCCGGTTTGATCTTCCCTAATCAAGAAAAGAAATGGATGATCAGCCACAAAATCTATCTTCTTCACAATACTAGCGGAGCCAAAACCAACAGTTACAGTTACAGCAGCAGCTTCAGCACCTTCTTCATCAATCTCGACACATGCTTTATGGTACAAAGTCGCATTCGAAGCCGAAAACCCGAATTCCATCTTAAACTTTGGAATTCTGAATTCACCAACTTGAACACTGTATCTTGGAATGTGGCTATCCAAGAAACCATGTGTTGATGCCATTGTCTCCACAAGATTATCCAACCCATCTTTCTCATCAGGGAGATAAAAATTCATAGAGAAACTACGATTGATATCGTGGCCTTGTCGAAACGGGAGCGTAAGGACCTTGAAACCATCATAAGCCATTATGAATTGGTTTTTATAGCTTCTCATGAAAGGAACAGAGACTGAGGTTCCATTGAGAAGGTGAAACTCTTTGTCCATTGTGCAAGACTTTGGGAATTTCACCCTCCAAACTCCTTTGAAGTACAATGCGTTTCCATAAATCAAATTGGTATCGGGTTGAACAGATTGCGGCGGAAGAATATTCTTGATGAGACCACTTGTGTGATGTTCAGCCCATGAATTCACCTCCAGACGCACTTGTTCAGCCTTCAAAAAAAAAAACCACAAAGTCATCACCAAAAACCAAAATCTTTGTCAGTAACTTTCTCCCTTGAAAAAAAAAAACATTTACTTAGACTACTTTTATTTTTGTCAAAAACAGAACTAATCTAGAGTCTAGAAACAATTCAAGATACAAAACAGAGTAGTTTTCAATTCAACTTGTTATGTGTATGTCTTCTAGTCGGTACAACGATGAATATTAGAATGATACAAAAGAGAGAATTACAGACACTTGAGCTTAATAGAATTTTCGCAAAATAACGTCAAAAAAACTGATTTGATAATGTTTTGTTTCTTTAGTTATAAGATTAACACGTCCAAAACTCCAAAATATATAACAAAATCACTTTTTTTTAAAACGCAAACACCTAAAATCTTTTTTGAATCGTTAAACATAGTATATGGTATAATTATGTTTTCAGAATATAAAAAAACTTGACCACCTTATAACTTTTTGCGTAATTTAGGAATGAAAGATTTGGGTTTATAAC